ATAATTTGTTGATACAATTTATTTATTTTTGTTTTGAATGTTGTAGAAATAAATCTCTATGTTCACCAGGCCTGCCTTTATTTGATCAAAAATACAGTAAAACAGTAATGTCAAATATTATCACAGTTTAACTGTCAACTCTAAAATGTAATGTATTCCTGTGATGGTAAAGCTGAATTTTCAGCAGCCATTACTCCAGCCTTCAGTGTCACATGATCCTTCAGAAGTCTTTCTAAAATGCTGATTTGGTGCTCAAAAAGCAGTTCTTACTATTATCCCAAAAAAAATTCTGTTGAATAGAGAGTTCAAACATTATAAATGTCACTTTTGATCAGTTTAATGCAAATAACTTTTATTACTATTACTTGAATTGCTTCTGAATGGTAGTATAGATTATAGGCTATATATAGAATGTTATAAATGTAACAATTTCTATTGTCTATATTTATGTCTTTATTTATTATTTTAGGTCGGTTAAGATTAGAGATGAACTAGTGACTAGAGGTAGGGTTAGATACATTATATCTGAAAGTCAGTATAAGTTAGCTATGTTTATGGTCAGATAATAAGATAATATGTTATGTACATACCCTGCAAAGCTTTTTTCAGACACCCGTCATCTGTCTCGCCCTCCTCCTCTCTTTATTTCTGATGCTGAATGCTCATTAGACTTCTTCCTTTTCGCTGCATATTCACAGAATCACAACAAAGTATGTCATAGAATGATGGTTTCCCTGATTGGCTGTTTCTTCATGAGTGGCTGTGACAAGACTTCCCTCAGACCTGATACTTTGACTGTAGAAGACAATCAAGCTAATGTGCTTAGTGGCGTAAGGAGAAGCCTTGAGCCTGGATTTAGCCTTTTTCTATTAGGTGTCTGCCTCTCAACTCCTGTTGGCGTATTTTAAAGTGCTATGAACGTAACCAGTGACGTCAATGAAAACTAATTTGTAACTTTGTCACGATATTCAGTTCAGGCCTAAATTTCTAAAACATAGTTTGTTTTTTTTACAATACACCAACCAAAGTTAGATCATGTAGCAGCAACTTCTTAATGTAACGACTGGACATATCCTCAAGCGCAAACACATGGCCACGTGGATCACAGTACAGGATGAACAAATTGCATGTAACTTAAATAAGGTTTGTGCTTTCATTGACTTTGGAGAACAGAAGTATGTCCTCTATGTTGAGCACACAGCACCCTCTATCTGTGCTCAACATCTTGCAGGAGCCAGCACATGCTAATCATGCTAGTACAAGATAACAATTGCCATGTAAACAACCCAGCGCTCTATGTTGTATTCATTTATTAATGAGGGAATGAGACACATGTAGAAGAGTAAGACAGATAGATTTTCACAAACCTGTCTAGCTATTTGCTAAATATAGTGGAAAAAAACACGAAAATACAAATAAAAAACATCTCCCGCCTACAGACTTCAAACACATAAGCTTTGTATTTTTTGGTAACTTAGAACAGGTGGAAATGAGCAGCACTGACAAAGAAAGATAGATTTTTTTGGGGGGGGGGGATTTTAGTGATTGAACGAGAGAATTGGGGCTTGTGGACATGGACTAATGGATGAAAGAGAGAGAGAAGGTTGTTCATAAATCTATTCAGTGACACCTTTTTAACCTCATGATTGGTCAAATACAGAAGATTTAAATCCTGGCACAATTTCTATCCGTCCACTTCTGGGTCAAATGGCAGTCTGTTCCTCCTTTGTTCTTATTTTCTCTCCCTCATCCCTACTTTCACAAAGATGGACTTTGGTGGTTCTTCTTCTTTCTCTTCATCACCAGGGTCACGACCAAAGCCTCAACCTGTGTGTAAAAGGAAATTTAATGTTTTCAAATGTAGATATATAAGTTAATATGACCAGAGTTCATTATTCTGTGCTAAAGGCCAGTGAATGTGCTCTGAAGTAGCCTGATATGATTCTCTTAATCCCAGGCTTAATCCTTTGTCTGACATCTCGCTGACTCTGATATTCCATTGCTGGTAATGGCAGCTGTCTTTCATGAAGGTGAAAGCTATTAATCAAGGGTTAGCTGTAATCCACCTAATCCTGTCTGAGATGCTCCTGTTCACTTTCTAGAGGGAGTGGGTGTGTTTTAAAGGGCTTAAAATGACATTATACACCAAGAATAGGTTATACTAAAACAGAAAATGTATATACTGTGCCATAATTATTCCAGTTGGTTTTATTTCCCGTGTATGAGAATGGACTGATAAAACAACATCTGAGCTAAAGCAGGGGGTGGAGCAAAAAAACGAAATAAATAAATATGCTCAACTGAAGACTAGTTTGAACGAATGATACACAAAAAATGCTCAGCAAGTCAACTATCAGATAGATCAGAAAGAGAATTTTACAGACATACAAGACTGTATAATCATCTTTCTGTCGGTGAAAGGTTTTAGCCTTAATTGTTGTCAGTTGTGACACAACTTCCAACAACTAAACATTCAGAACTTTGGGGTCAGTAGATTTGAATGTCTCTTCCGCTCGCCAAGGCTGCACTTATTTGATCAGGAATACAGTAAAAACAGTTACATTGTGAAATATTATTACAATTTTTATATTTACTATTAATATATTTTAAAATGTAGTTTTAATGAAGCCATTAATCCAGTCTTCAGTGTCACATGATCCTTTAGAAATCATTAAAAATGCTGATTTGGTGCTCAAGAAACATTTCGCATTATCCGTGTTCAAAATGGTTGTGCTGATTAAAAAAAACAAAACAATCAGGATTCTTTGATGAATAGAAGGTTTAAAAGAACAATTATATGGAATAGAAATCTTTTGTACATTATAAATGTATTTACTGTCACTTTCGATTTTATGTGTCCTTGTTAAATAAAACTCTTACTGACAACAACGTTTTGAATGGTAGTGTATTTTAATGGCAGTTTTTGAGATTTGTGAAAATGAGAAGTGTTTGTTCTTTTCATTTAGACTTTTGTTTCTCTTTTCCCCCCCCAACTCAAATTCCTTTTCTTACAACCTTCAATCATTTAAGTCATGAAATTCCTTACTGTCAAAGTAACTAATAAAATAAAATCTAAGACATAAATAGTACAGTAATGAGACTTGGTGCTGAAACTTTTTGCAGGATTCAGCAAATTATATCTTGTAAGAGTAATAGTCCAATGACTTGCATAACATTAATACTTACTCAGACGGGAATTTCCTCAGGTGGTGGAGCATCTTTGATCTTCTTGCAGAAAACCTGAGACAGAAGAAAGTTCCAGTAGACAATAGTCAAACTTGTGTTGGCTGTCACTATGCCGATCAATAGGGGATGCATGTCTAATTTCAGCTGTGGTGTTGTCCTTCCACAGGCTGATGCTGCACAAACTCTCTCAGAGTCTAACTGACTGAATGACTGACAGAGGAAAAGCTTTTGTGCGGTTGAGTCAGTGATTCAGACAGATCTGATCCTCTATGAGTCAAATCTGATATATTATTCATCTCCTGCGCATCGTTAATCCTTTCTCCATGCATGTTACATAGATTGTGAAAATTATAAGGGGCTAGTTGTCGAGACGTTTTATTCCACCAAGTCAGGGTAGGTTTATTACTGTATATACACATACCATAAAATTTAGACTACACACAAGCTATTAAACATGCCTAGGAAAATACATAGTTCAATTAACACGTGTTGACCTTTACAGTTGACCTTTTAATAGCAGTCACAATGGAATCTGTGGTTTATTTACAATAATTTTGAGAAAAATATATGTTCTTAATGGAATACTTAATCTAAAGTTAAAATAATCTAAAAAAAAAATTCATCTGAAGTAAAATTTTCACTAACATTTACTACCGGTCAAAAGTTTGGGGTCAGTGTTTTATTTTTTTTGTTATCAATACAGGGATGCATTAAATTGATCAAAAGTGACAGTGAAAATTTTCAGTGAAAAACTAATTTTATTGTTACAAATGTTTTTCTTTTGAACTAGAATCCTGAAAATAAGATAATATTGATAATAAGAAATGTTACTTAAGCGTCAAATCAGGATATTAGAATGATTTCTGAAAGATCACTAAAGACTGGAGTAATTGCTGCTGAAAATTCAGCTTTGTCATCAAAGGAATAAATTGCATTTTAAAATATTTTAACACAGAAAAGTTTTTTTTTAAAATTTAATAATATTTCATAATATTACTATTTTTACTGCATTTTTAATAAATAAATGCATCCTTGATGAGCATAAGAGACTTACCGGCTTCAACGTTTGAAGTGTAGCATGAAGCAATAACATGTTTTTCAAAACTGTTAGCCCTCCTTTTTGCAGAAAAAAAAGAATAAATAAATAAAAAATAAACATTTTATGTTACCTGAAAGTAAACCAGATCCTGGAGAGTTGGAGTCATGGAATATTTGCTCAGGTCAGATTATTCAAATGGAAAGATCACCCCCCACAAGTTTTCTATATTATTAAATAATTAAATAAAAATTTAAGGCATAAAAGAAGATCCTACTCTAACCTTCCCCACATGTAACTATATGCAGGGTTGGCTAAGCATGGTTGTCTTTTTTGGCTTCATCGTCCGTCTTCTTGTGAAAGGCTTCTGTCAGAATGAAGATCCAGTATGCAATGGTGATGGAGGTATTAATTGTGACAATACCAATCATGAAGGGGTGTAGCATGTTTGCAAGTTTTTCCCTGACTGCCGTCTACAGCGTTTCTGTGCTTTCTGTTACTTTTAGCCTTTTTCTGCAGTTTGGTCCAGCCTTTTCTTCAGTACGTGGTTGTCTCTCCTCCCCCCAAACTCAAATGAGGCTTAAAAATCCTCAGAGCCTTTGCTGAGCACGACATTCCAGGTTTATTATTATTATTATTATATTTGTACATTATACAGATATAAAATTGATTATATAGATATACAATAGTAATCAGAGTGCAATGCTTCTCATTTCTGTTTGTTTACAGCAATTTTTCTGATATACAAGCTAGTGATGACCACTTAAGCATTACAGCATTTGGATTTTAATTACATGTGTGCTTCTTTAAAGATTAATCTCATTGAATGAGATAGACTGCTGTGTGGCTTAGTTAGGCAGAACGTACTGTTATAGATCTCAGACAAGCACTAGCGCTCTTAGCTCTGCTAATCACCTCTGCTCATGCATGGAGGATTTAACACGAGTCACACAGACTTTACTGAAGATTAGAAACTTGATTAGTGACATCTCAAATATTCATGACGCAAAATGTTAAGAGTTTACAGGCAGAATAAGACATAAGTACATGTGGTCAAATAAATGCTTTTATTATGTAAATGTTTTCTGTTTTTTCAAGAGAGATCTGCAAAAATGTTTTTTATTAAATATTCAGGCATTCAAAATGCTTTAACTTGAGTTTGAAATATGGATCAGCTATGTAACATTAACATGTTTTAGGAAATGTGTTTCACTAAGCGCTTCGCAGTCTGAGCAGTCCGTCTGCATATTGGAACTGCAAGCTGTTCTCATACTCCAGCATGTCCAGTGCCACCTCACAGCTCTCCTTCACCACCCGCTCCTGGTCCTTCCTGTAGTGCTCTAGGATCTGTAAGCACGTCTCCTTCCCGATGGAGCCCAGCGCTTCTGCACACTCATGCCTGACCATGGCGTTCTCATCTGTTTTCTCCAAAGCTGCCTGCAGCTGAGGGATGCTGGCCTCGTGTTGGATCTGACCCAAGACGTAGCCGATCTCATGGCGGAACAAAGCACTGCTACACTGAAGACCTAAAATAAATTTTTGAAAGAAAATATTACTTTTATTCAGCAGGGATGCATTAAATTGATTAAAGCATGACAGTAAATTTGTAAGGTTACAAAAGATTTCCATTTCAAAAAATCCTGAAGAAATGTCACCACAAAAATATTAGGCAACACAACGGTTTTCAATATTGATAATAATAGGAAATGTTTCTTGAGCACCAAATCAGCATATTAGAATGATTTCTGAAGGATCATGTGACACTGAAGAAGACTGGAGTAAATTCATGAAAATTTAGCTTTGCCATAACAGGAGTAAATTACATTTTAAAATATATTGAAACAGAACACAGCTATTTTAAATTGTAATAATATTTCACAATATTACTGTTTTTATTTTATTTTTGATCAAGTAAATGCAGCCTTGGTGAGCAAAAATCTTACCAAGCCCAAACTTTTAAACACTGTTATTTACAAAGTTCAACATTTTTATTTGACCTAGCACTGCATGTTTCTCACCATCTCCAAGAGCCAGAACAGCCTCTTCAGTCCCAAGATTCCTCAGTGCAAACATAGCTCTATAGCGGTCAAACAGCGACAGGCTTTCATCTAAGAGCTGCGCCCTCAGTTCTGGGACACTTTTTCTTGCGGCAGGGGGCGCGGGGTCTACAGAGCAGTAGGGGTTCTCATCTGTCCCCTCTGCTGTCTTTTCCCCACCATTCATGAGCCACTCCAGCCGCCGGACTGCCAGCTGACATGTTTCTGCCACCTTTATGAAAAGAGAATTACTGTAAAATCTAAACTTGGGGCATAATCAAAATGCACAGCATGGGCATTCATGCGTTAGTGTAACAAGGAATGGTGAATAGATTGGTGATATGGGTTGACTGTACCTCAATTACTGGATCTTCTGCATATTTCTTCAATAAATCTAAGACTTTGGGATTTCCAATGGCTCCCAATGCTTCTCCTAGAATTTAAATTATAATAAAAACACTGAATATGACATATTTAAAAAAAAGAAGAAAAAAAAGAAGGAAGAATATGACTGTAAGTTTTACCTCCTTTATGTCTGAGCATTGGTTCTTGATTAGTGTCTTTCAGGACCGTCTCTAGGATAGGAATGGCCCGCTCGTCTTGCATTTGGCCGAGGCAGTATGCCAGCTCATGCTTCAGAAGTGCAGATTCATCCACAAAAGCTTCACTGATCCATTTAATGGCCTCTGGTCCACCAAGGTTGCGGAGAGTAAAAAGTGCTCTAAAGCGCGTTGTCAGGTCCTGCTTTGGGTTGACGAGAATCCTCCCCACCGCTGCTATATCTGCATCATTTGCCATGAGGAAGCTTTCAGTATCAGGACGATGTCCTTATGCACAGGTTAAACGGAGTACTCCAGAGAGCAGCATATATACAGAACCTGCATTTAAAAACATCAAAATTTCAACCCTGCTTAGTAATAATTTACTCTGTAGTAGTAATGAAATGTCAGGACTCATATGATGATTAAAACCTTGTGAACTACCTACTTAGACAGCATTCTTGAGCTTGTAAACAAAACTAATCTTTAGGACTTACTGTTTGTCTGACTACTATTTAAACAGGGACATATCCCATTTATCTATTTGTAGTCTGACTCGTTTCTGCGAACCTGTTCTTTCAAAACCAATTCAGAGCCATTCTTTTACGTCATGATGAGATCCTGACTTACTAAAAATAATAATAATTTTAAATAATTTAGAAGCCTATATTAACAGACAATTGGAATGTATTCGTATTCGATGTGCTTTTTATTTTCAAGAATGACATTTTGGAATGTAGAGAACAATATGCATTTACAATAAACAAGATTAAAATTAAATGCCAAATTGCCCAAAAAGAGACCCAGAAAGGTTCATGAACGAATCGTTGACTGGTTTTGAGAACCGGTTCAATGAAAAGTTACAGGGTTACACTATGAAGGACAAGGCCTGAACATTGCCACTGTGTCGGCAGTAACGTTACCCAGGCGTCACTCTGCCAGCTGTGTGCAAGCGTGTTATGCAGCCGGCAGAATGACGGGTTTAAAGATATTACAGCTAACCGAGTTCACAATCTGATTCGTTACAATCGCTGAATTATTTGTATTCTGAACTTACTACAAGCGGAGATGTTGTGTTTTTCGCTCATAACAAGGCGCTCTCCATCAACCTCCCCATGCCGTCCACTCAAAAAGGAACTGTTTCACTTGTGTAATCCAGTGGTGAGAGTTCAAATTACTCGCACTAGTCCATCGCCACCTACTGGATTGGAGAGGAACCGCTCTAAAATTTGTAAACAAGCTGCATGGTTATCAACCTTTTTAACTGTAATGCCCCCAATTTTTAACAGAGACAGGAAGCATTGAAGCTGTAAATTAATCACAAGTTTAAAGAACTATTTGTAACTCAGAATAACCAATAGTTATTGAAGGAAAAAGAACTATGATTTTTTAAAAATTAATTTAGATTAATTAATAATTAATAATAATAGGTAATTAATTAGTTATAATGACAATATGGCCTCCTAATTGGTCATGGCCTCCTGGTTGAGAGCCACTGATTTACATTGTTTCAACCTGGTAAGGCTGTATTCTTTTACATGTGATGAGAAATTTTGAAAATTTGGATACAGCACTTTCAAATTCTAGGAAAGTCAATGTGGATTGATACACACAGTGCATCACATTTAATAATACAGGACATTTAATATCTTTTGTGTTCCAAGGATGAAAAAATTAAGTCACATAGGTTTATAACAATGTGACATGAATAAATGATGCCTTTTGGGTTTACCTAATTCTCCAAAATTTCAAAAAAGCATTGAATTGCCATAAGTATTTTTGTTTATTTCAACCAAAAAACAAAATCACTTTGAACGTTATATAGATCCACTGTTTACAATATTGATAGATTAGACGCCAAATAAAACTTATCAAGTGATTTAAAAGTCATATTAAAAGTCACTCATTTATAAAAGTTAATAAAACAGATAATCTTAAGAGTTATAAAATATAAGACTGGGATTTAAATACAATCAATTTACACACTTTCTGCCTGCTTAGCCATGCTTACTTTTGTAACATATTAAATGGCAGCTATAAACTGGCTAATAAAATGATCAGTCTATACACAAGCTATGCTGTTCCAGCATTGTCCACTTGAAGTGGCTCAGGTACAGACAAAAACGTGCTGCTTGTTGGAGACTGATCTAGTGTTTTGCTCTGCTGTTGTTGCTCAAAGTAGCTACAGAGCAAGGAACGAACTGCCTTTGCTTTCGGATCATCTATGTAGACCGTAGACACATCTGTGGGCTGTGGACATTCATTCTGACTGAGTGCTTTAACCCACTCCTCTTTAAACGGACTGTTATGCACGTTACAGATATTGTGCAAGATACAGCAAGCTACAGCCATCTTGGATACCAAGTCTATGTTGCTGTCATTTCTGTTGTGCAGACACTGCCATCGTGCTTTAAGGCGCTGGAAGGCATTTTCAGTTACTTTAATGCCGCGGTTCAGCTGGACATTGAAGGTTTGCTGTTGCAGTGTTAGATTTGGCGATGAAGGATAGCATTTCAGTAGCCAGGTCTGAAGCGAATAACCCGCATCCCCCAGCAGCAGAAATCCCAACGGTTGACCCATGAGTTCTTTGGGTGGCTGAGAGCAGAAGCCTCCCTCTTCTGCCATAGTCCACAGCTCTGAGCTCTGCAAGATGGTCGTGTCATCTGTGCTGCCTGTAAAACCAGAACAAACGTCCCAGAAACTACCTTTTGCATTTACCACACCCTGAAGCACTACAGAGTGCCATCTTCTCGGGTTCCAGCAATCCTGGGTGTCCGTGGAGGGTGATTTAACAGGGATGTGAAGGGAGTCGATGACACCAATGCAGTGAGGAAAACCCCACAGAGTATGAAACTGCTCTGCCTGTTCTTCAAGTTCATGATCTGCAGGTAACTGCATGTAAAGGGGTTTTAGTAACAAAATGATGGCTTCACACACCTCTCGTACACACTGACACACAGCTGGGATGGGCACACCGAAGAGTTCGCTTAAGAAGCAGTATTCTGTGCTGGTGGACAAACGCATTAAGGCCATGGCAATACATCTCTCCAGTGTAATGGTCTGTCCGCTTTGTTCTATATACACTTGCTCGAGCTGGGGCTTGAGTTTAGCATGCAGAAGAAGGAAGATGTCTCTTGTGATGTGGAACTTGTCAAGCCAGTCTTCTGGTCCAAACTCTGTCATCACAACTCTCTCCCACCAACCTGGGTCTGCAGGGATTGGGACATGATTTTGCAGATCTTCTTCATTTGGTGATGGCAACTAAAACATTGACAGAAAAAAGCTTACTGCATGAATGAGCAATTATTTTGCCAGTCAGGCTGGCATAAATTCAATGAGGAATTTATGCACGGACACTAGTCTGCATCGTTGATTCTGTTATTTTCCTGTTCATTACTGCGAAGCTGCTTTGAAAGCATCTGTATTGTATAAAGCGCTATATAAATAAAAGTAACTTGACTAATATGCACACTCTCTTCTCGTTACTGTGCAGAGCATGATTGTGATTTCAAGGACGTCTACAGATGTCTTAGAAATGCGTAGCAAACATATACAGAAATTACTGTTTACCGTACTCGTGCTCCGGTAATTCAGGAAAAGATGCCTTCGATATATGATTCGTTTGTGAATTTCAGCTCGCCTGTCTAGTATGTAGTTATGAATTTCTTCTTTTCGCCGTCTAATTTTGGATGCAAGTAAATATTTCATCTCCGCAGCATCTCTCGCCTCGTCTGTTTTCAAGTATGAACGTGGCATTTTGTGCGACGTGTAGTAATAAACACTCTACACAGTGGAATGTATTCTTTTTGTGATTTAGGACAGCACAAACACGATCCCATGACGGGCATAAAGCGACACGTCCGGTCTCCTGTGTTCTTATCAAAATAAAAGTTTGTTTTAGAACAATGGAAAAGGAAATAGAAATATAATATAATTTTATGAATTTACCGTTTGATTTACCTAGCATCTCTTCTCTTATCTCTTTCCTCTTTTTGTATAAAGGAAATAAGGTTGCATTATACAATAAACAAGAAGTATTTGAGTAATAGTACTTCACTACTATACTTATAATTTGTGTTTTACTTGAGTTCTGTTAAAACCAAAACTGAATACGTGTACTATTACTCAATTACATTTATATGGGAAAAAATAGATTTTACTTTATTACATTTTTAGAGACATAAAAGTACAAAACACATGTCAGTAATCACGACTTAAACTTTTGCCAATGATTTAAAAATAAAATTAGTGTTTTTCTTTATCCTAATGTGATATTGCATCAAAATACTAAAATGAGAAAATTACTACTGTCTTTTGTTTTTAACGGTCAATTAAAAAAAGCTAAGAAAAGTGTTTTACTTTAGAACACTTCAGTATGATTAAATATGTATACTTTTATGCAAGTATTTATTTATGGTACTTTTTAAACTTTTAATTGAGTAAAATTAAATGTAAAAATACAATTCACAAACTTTCCATAATATATAGTATGCACTTTTTAACAAAATTCTCAATATTACTTTTTTCCCGTACAAAAAAAATAAAAAATAAAAAAATAATAAATTGAAGTTGATCTTTTCACTTTTAAAAACATAGCAACGTTTTTTTTTTTTTTTAATGCTTTATTAATTCAATGCCACAAGAACATGAGGTATTACATATTCACATGATCAAATTAATATTATTAGCTGCCAGATAAAAAAAAGGGAAAAAAAGGAAGAAAATCACATAAAGTTCAATGCTTTCAGAGCATTACATGTTTTCAGTGCTTTTTTGTTTTTTGTTTGTTCTAAGAGATTTACATATAATTTAAAGTCATTTATAAAATGTGCAAAATTTGGTTTACATTGAGCCCACTTCTTCATAGCAACGTTTTTGTTTTGTTTTGTTTCAAATGTCGTGACGTCAGTGTTTGACTCAATCCCATGATCCCTTGCGGTGCCATCGATAACAACAGCTTCGATTTGCTAACAACATCGGCGCGGCGTATTTTATATCCATTATCAAATATATTCTCATTTTTTTCAAGGTTGACACTCGATGCGTTTGTTTTGGATAAGGTTCTGCTGATCAGATTATAAATTCACCGAATATCGTAGTCAAGGTAGGTCCGATGACTTGTGGGGTCAGATTAGCCTAACTAGCTGCTCAGTAATCCATTGTGAAACACCAATAATCAGTGCATAACAACAGACATCTTCTGTTGTTTTATTAATGTATACATTTAGATAGCCTTGGGTCAGCTGATATATAACGCTGAAATATTTTTCCATAAATGAACACAGACGTTGATAGTTAGCCATGTTGACAAAGGAATCTAGTATCTCTTCATTCAGGACTGAGAGCAGCTGTGGGGTAATTGCTTTTTGACATTATATTGATATTTTGTCTGTACGTTTCCTGTTAGTAAAGAAGCATTTCACTTCTTTAATCCGTAATAAAAATGTCATTGTTTGCTTAGGCCACAAAACGATTGCATTTAAGACTTTGGGTCTTTTATTAACATGTCAGGAACTGGGAATCGCAGTTCAGCATATTCTTGTCTCTATGTTCCTATTGTTTGGAAGTTGACGATTGAGCAGCTGTTCTCTAACACCTGTTTATGGGGTATTGAACAGATGGCATCTGCTGACGAGTCTTGCAGCCTTCTGCCTCGCTAACCAGACAACCTAAAAGTGTAGACCTTTAACAATAGTTGCATCGTTGTGACCTTCTCATAAAATAATGTTCCTCCCATATAGTTTCTAAACATGTTTTTATGTTGTTTCCATGAATGCACTTTAGGCACCTTGCCCCTGGATCTCCACATTCGCAGATTTCTGAATCACATCCATGGATCAGGACTATGAGCGCAGGTTACTGCGGCAGATCAACGTCCAGAATGACAACACCAGTCCCATGGTAAGTCTGTCATCTTGAATATTGCAGACTTGAAATTGGATTCATTTTTTTTTTTAAACGATCCATGTCCGACTATTCATTTGATCTGATCCGATTCCTTCTTTTTTTGTATACAGAAAGTAAGAGATGTGATCTGTCACCTGACCCCCACCCCTGAGTCACCGCTGTCATCACCAAGCAAGCATGGTGACAGATTCATACCATCTCGAGCTGGAGCTAACTGGAGCATCAACTTCCACAGAATAAATGTGGGTGAAATATTTTTTTAAAAATACTAGTAATGGAGCTTCCAATTAGCTTCCATTTGATTTGAATCAAAGGAATGTGAAGTGTCAAGTGCATATTTATTTACTCTATTTACAGGAAAATGAAAAGTCACCAAGCCAGAATAAAAAAACCAAAGACGCAACATCAGATACTGGCAAAGGTGAGCGAGAAGAGGATTGCGTTGATTTTACCTGCGTAGTCTGCATTAATAAAGCTGATCAGGCCATTGGTGTTATGGTATCTTCTTTATAGAGAGAGAGACAGACTATACTTTAAATGAACCTCATTCTTGAAGGATCACATTCTCAAATATGATACTCAACCCTCTTGTGTTGTGCAACTCGTGTAAATTCTGTCGTTTTTCTGACAGCGGACGGCTTGGCGTATTCTGCCCTGCTGAAGAATGAGTTGCTTGGTGCTGGGATTGAGAAGGTCCTGGATCCTCAAACAGAAGATAGAAGACTACAGCCCTCCACACCCGAGAGGAGGAGCCTCTTTAGTGTAAGTCTCTCTTATCCGCTGATCTGTTCACTTGATGCCACATGAGTGTTTGGATCTGTGTTTTCAGCGCCTACTTTGTGTTTGTGTGTACAGTATTCACTCAGTGCCAAAAGATCCACACCCGATGATAACAGTGTTTCCCCGTACTCCCTCTCCCCTGTTAGCAGCAAAAGGTAAGCTGAGTCTTCTCCTGAACAATGTGATTGATTAGTAAAATGCATTGTTTTAATTGCATGCATTGTTTTTGTTTATAGTCAGAAGCTGCTGCGGTCACCAAGAAAACCCACACGCAAAATTTCCAAGATTCCTTTTAAGGTGCTAGATGCTCCGGAGCTACAAGATGATTTCTACCTCAACTTAGTGGACTGGTCCTCTTTAAATGTGCTCAGTGTTGGACTGGGGACTTGTGTTTATCTTTGGAGTGCCTGCACCAGTCAAGTATGCATGAGACACATTGGCTGTTTATGCAAATTTAGAGTCAGTAAATACCCAGTGAACTCTTGGACTAAGTTGTGTGTTTTTTTGTTTGCTTTGTCTGCAGGTAACACGACTATGTGACCTATCAGTGGAGGGTGATTCAGTTACATCCGTGGGCTGGTCGGAGAGAGTGAGTTAACCTTTATGACTTGGACTATCAGAAGTTGCTTTCTGGGTTTTGTGGATTGACCGTTCTTCTCTCATAGGGCAATCTTGTCGCTGTGGGTACACACAAAGGCTTTGTACAAATTTGGGATGCTACTGCCGGCAAAAAGCTGTTTGCCTTGGAGGGACACACAGCAAGAGTTGGTAAGAATTGTTTTTTAATCCTTATGGAATGACTGGAAAATGATAGAAAAATAATTGAAATTCATTGGTCAAGGTGTAAGAGTTTGTAATTAATATTTTATTCAGCAAGTAATAGTATTAATTAAATTGACTAAAATTGACATTAAAATATTTCAAATGAGTTCTGTTCTTTTCATCATTTTGTTTCAATGAAAAAAAAAAGTATCATATTTTCCACAAAAATAATAAGCAGCACAACTGTTTAACATTTGTAAGACCACCAAATTAACATATTAGAACGATTTCTGAAGGATCATGTAGCACTGAAATCTGGCGAAATGACTGCTGAAAGTTCAGCTTTGCCATTGCAGGAATAAATTACATTTTAAAATATATTAAACTAAAAAAAATAAATAATAATCTTATTGTCCCCAAACATTTCAACTGTAGGACATATGTTCACTATTGCTCTTAAGCTTCTTGTTGGACTGATTTAGTGTTTCAGTCCATTTTTGACATTTACTTTCTGATGTGCTTCACATTCTTGTGAAATGTATGTGTAAGGTTTACATCTGGTATGAAAAATCTGCCCTCAGGTGCATTGGCCTGGAATGCAGATCAGCTATCATCAGGCAGCCGGGACCGGATGATACTTCAGAGAGATATCAGGACGCCCCCTCTGCAGTCAGAGCGCAGGCTACAGGGCCATAGACAAGAGGTCTGCGGACTCAAGTGGAGCACTGACCATCAGCTGCTGGCCTCCGGAGGAAATGACAACAAGGTGACTGCTATATAAATAATTTAAATGTACAAAATATTCTAATATATTAGCACAAAAAAATATTTTTTTTAGGAAACTGCATCTCTCTAAAAGCATTCCTATGATTGATCCCTGCAGCTGTTAGTGTGGAATCACTCAAGCGTGTTACCAATGCAGCAGTACACAGAACACCTGGCCGCAGTGAAGGCCATCGCCTGGTCTCCTCACCAGCATGGACTGCTGGCCTCCGGAGGGGGAACAGCAGATCGCTGCATCCGCTTCTGGAACACTCTTACAGCGCAGCCACTGCAGTGTATCGACACAGGCTCACAAGTCTGCAACCTGGCCTGGTCCAAACACACCAATGAACTGGTATGTTTATTCTAATCAGCTAACCAAATGCTCAATGTTGAAGTTTATTGTTGGTTATAACATGCATTTATGCTGTAGTGTAGAATAAGACAAACAGGCATGATGGTGAGTCTTATTGCTTGTTCCATTGTCTCCAGGTCAGCACACACGGTTACTCTCAGAATCAGATCCTCGTGTGGAAATACCCCTCGCTCACTCAAGTTGCCAAATTGACCGGCCACTCGTACAGGGTGCTCTATCTGGTTAGTACTTCTGTGGTTTTATTTTAACAATTGACACATTGTAAATAAGTATTTTTAAAAGC